ACAAAACCCCTAAGTGAGGATCGCTTCAATTTTATTCGTAGCGAGCTTGGAATGTCGATTTCTACTTAAAAAGTTTTGTTATGACTGTGGAACTTGAAGTTTTGTTAAAATGATTTATGTGTATTGCTACATTGATATGGAAACATTTATATCAGTTGAATGTTCTCAAGTCCTTCATACATTTATTCTCCTTAACAGTTTGCTATTCTCAACTGTGTAATTTTTTTTGGGTTCGGCATCTTGGGGTAAAATTAACTTTGCATATATTGATTTTTTTTTTTTAAACCCTCATGGTATTTTTTTTTTTTGCATTACCATTCTAGCAATACCAACGTACCATTAAGTTTAATTTTTGCTGCTATTATTTTATTTTAATTTATTTTCTTCCTTTTTTATTTTGCTATTAGGCTTAATTTCTTTTATTTTTATTTTTTTCTCATTAATATTTTTTGTTTGGGCTTAATTTTCTTTTTTTTTTTCTGCTTTTTAATTTCAATTTTCAGTGCTTAAACATAAAAACAAAACAAATCAAAATACAAATATTTACATATAAAAAAAAACAAAAACCCTTCATTTTTTTTACAGCCATACGTCGATCTTACTTACTTGCCTCTTCCATCGTTTTCTTTCTCTTTTTATCACCTTGGGAGGCCCTTGAAGGCCCTGCCCCCGTGCTTTCGTCGAGAGCGACGACTCCCCGCTAACTATCAAAGGCGAAGAACGACGTTGCTCCAAATCGGGCCATGCAGGTGGTGTTCCATTTAAGCTCTTTATTTTGGCCTTCAGTGTGCCAATCTCTGCTTGCGCATCCTTGTACATACGCTGGAGCAGCGAGAGTTGGGCATTGACCTGGTGGAGCTCACTCGTCCTGTTCTGTAGTCGGTGAGCCAATTTTGTGACGGCAGTCACCATCTCCATACAGGAAGTGTGAAATGATTGGCTTCAATGTCTGATTGAGTTGCCATTATTTGCTCAATCGACATCATAGGAAGGTTAGGAAGAGTAGGAGCCGGGGCACTTGGCCCAGCAGCGCTTACAAGATCATTCAGGTCCGGAAAAAGAGTAAGGGGATGTGACGAGGCCATGAAGTAGAAGAGAGAGATGTAAACGACAGGAGGGTCATTTTTGGCAGTTTTTCTGCTCTGCTCAGTCTCTCTGTTCTAACTCTCTCACGTAGAAGAAGAAAGAGATGGAAGGGAATAAGAAAGAAGAAGGAGAAGAGAGTGATTAAGAAGAAGACGAAGGAGAAGAAGACAAGAGGGAGAGAGAGCTGAGGCCGTTGATTGACCCGTCTTGCTTTTGCTGGTTGACTGATGCCAAAACGAGGACACGTGTCTGACGCGATTTTCGACGGAAAAGAGAGAGGTGTATGAATCGTATATATATGTATATATATGTTTTGAATTTTATAGATGCCATTTATCACTATCATTTTCCTCCTCCTTCTCCAGATTCTGACCGATGATTTCCTTTTGATAATGTCATAAGTGGAAAAGTTATATGATGTTATGTATTATGATATTATTTTGTTATGATGTTATGTATTATGGTATTATTTTCAAATTATGGTATTATTTGAAAACTAATCTGATGATTATGCATTTATAGTTTGATATCTTAGTCTCATATCATGTCTCTAATTAAAGTTTATTTATTACACATGTGTTAACCTATGTATTTAGAAATGAATTCAGGGAGCACGATTTGATGGGGGGCTTTTCTTACTCCCAAATCAAATCAAAACATCATTGTGTGCCATCATAAAAAAAGGAGAGATTGTTAGACTTATTTATTTTGATGATTTATTTAATTGTGTTTTTAATTTATTTGGAAGAGAAAAATAGAATCAAAATTTATTTTAATGATTTATTTGAAAGAGAAAAATAGAATCAAAATTTATTTTGATGATTTATTTAATTATGTTTTAATTTATTTGAAAGAGAAAAATAGAATCAAAATTTATTTTGTCCCATTATTTCTCACCTAAACCTTTATCCTAAATGTTGTTAGAATGTATTTAATATTTGATTAAATCAGAAGTTTAAACAGCCTAAAACAAAGGTTCAAACAACCCAGTACAGCAGCATGCCAAAAGGTTCAAGTGGAAGATATTCAAATTAGTAACGATGGAGTGGAAGATATTCAAATGAATACAACGACTATAAATGGCTATAAGTTTCATTATATATACCAAAGCCTTTGATGTGAACAAGTGACAGCAACTACAAACAAGTTACAGAAACCAGAAAATATTCTTTGATCCAAAATCACTCTCATCTATTCTTTGAAATTTTTTTTGAGAAGTGTTCTTCAATATTTGTTTACATCCTCTTTCAGAAATTATACATTAAGTCCTATAGCTTTAAGCCCATCTTTCCTGTGTGAGGATTACAGAAAAATCAGAGTCTCGTTTTTATATCTATCTTTGAGAGATAATTTTTGTAGCTTTTTGTGAAAGCAAAAACACATTCTTTTCAATCCTGTAAGAGTGTAGTACTCTCAGTGTTTTTTGGAGTTAGAAAGTCTGTGTAAAAACTGTGGAGGATTGCTCCACATGGGAAAAGGTTACTAGCACCATGTGAAGCTAAAGAATAGTGAAAAATCTCAAGTGAAGCTTGAAGAGTGGACGCAGGCCGAGTTGAAGCCGAACCACTATAAATTTATTTGCCTCTCTCTCCCTTATCTCTTTATTTTATTTAAATTGCCATAACTATATTTCATATTTTTATTGTGCTAAAATCATTAATTGCCATAGTTGTTAGAACACTTGTTTTAATTATTTTTATTTCATTAACTATATTTATCTATTGTGCTAGTCATAATTTTAATTAGGATATTATTATTTTATTTGTAAAAATCTAATTCATCCCCCCTCTTAGGTTGTCTTTTGGGTAACAGAAGTGTTATCCAATAAGGGTGTGTAAGGAGCAAAGAGTAGTATCTAAGGTGTTAAAAGAGGTATACAAGGGTAAGATTCATCAAGATGAAGAATCTGGTTCTTTCAACATTGATGTCCAAGGGTCTCAAGTTCCAAACAGAGAGGAGGAGGAGAAAGAGTATGGCAAGGCAGTTGACTTAGTGGATGAGCTGGACAGAAGGAATGAGTTGGACCATGTTAGTGAGACAAATTAGATGGAGAAAGAGGTTGAGCTGGAGGATGATAATGGTTTAAAGTGTGCTTTAGCAATTGAAGATTCAACAAGTGACTTAGGAAAGACAAATATTGGAAGAACATATGAAAATGAGGCATTGATGGTGTTGGGAAGCTCTAACATAGGTGTAAATGAGGCATCTCAAAGGGTAGATGTGCAAGTGTATACACCAGGCTTCGTTAAGAGCTTTACTAGATCAGGTAAAGATAGACCAGGTATCAACCTAGAGGTTATTTTAGGCTAAGACCAATTAATCAATTGTGGGCTATTTAGGTCTATGGATAAAACGTGTCCAAATAAGTGTCTAACCAAAAAGAAAGGTGTTGTTAGGCCCGATGAGAGTAGTAACCATTCTAAACCTAGTGTAATGAGTAACCATTATAGCCAGAACCATCTGAGGAATGAAGTTTTGAAGGGGAAGGAGGTTTTGAAGGGTAAAGGAAAGATGGGAGAAAAAAGGAAAGTGGGGCCTTGCAATCAAATGCAAATGGGTGGTTTCTCAAGTTTCGTTAAAAACCTTAGCCATAAGGGTGCGTTATCAAGTAAGAAAGGGTCTAAGAATGTTATTTCCAGACTAGCTTGTGGCAGCTTTAGCATCTTTATCTTCATCTCAACTTGGTAGCATCTCTAGGGAGGGAAGTTTAATGCTAAAGGAAGCTCAGGCTACCCTTCAAATGGGGAGTTTGTTGGGGATTAATTATCATTGGAATGAAGCAGAAGCCTTGAAGAGGATCTCAGAAATGGAGCTAAAGGACAAGGGAATGATTGGTGGAAGGTTAGAGGATGTGATTTGAGTGATGTCCACAGGAGGTTTTAGACTTATATTTTTTTTTCCTAATGAAGATACTATCTTGTAATTGTAGAGAATTGGGTAGGAGGGAGAAGAGGGGAAAGATTAGAAGATTGATTGCTAATAGAAAGATTGATATTGTTCTTCTCCAAGAAACGAAGTTAACCAATTGCTCTGATGTTAAAGCTTTATGGCCAAAAGATAAAACTGAATATTTGTGTGTAGATTCAGAAGGTTTATAAGGAGGTCTTCTATGCATTTGGGATCCTGGGATCTTCCAATTCTCAGACTGTTGTAGTAACAGAAGCTTTATTCTAATCTCAGCTAAACTTTTCAACTCTTTTGAGTGTGTCATTGTGAATATATATGCCCTTAATGTAGTGGGTAGGAGAGCAAAGCTATGGAATATTTTGGGTGGGTTGAAGTCTGCTTTCTCGAAGCCCTGGTGTATAGGTGGTGATTTTAATGAAATAAGAAGTGTGGGCGAGATGATAGGCTGCTCTAGGAGGGACAGGGGTATGAGGGATTTTAACAATTTCATTGAGTCCTGTGAATTTTTTTTAGATATCCCTATTTTGGGTAGGAAGTTCACTTGGTGTAATGCACAAGAGGGGGAAAAGTGGAGCAAGATAGATAGATTTCTAGCAAATCCAGAGTGAGGGATTGGGGACCTAGACCATTTAGATTCATCAATGCTTGGATCTTACACCCTCAGTTTTCAGCTTTTTTGAAGAAAATCTCAAAGGAGGCTAAAGTAGTTGGGTGGGCAGGTTTCATCATTCATAGTAAACTTAAATTGTTAAGAGACGCTTTAAGAAAGTGGAACAGAGAAGTATTTGGGGATGTTACAATCAAACTCAAGGCTATTGAGGAGGAATTGAACAATCTTGGCCTACTAGCATAAACAAGAGATCTAGTAGATATTGAGAAGGTAAGAAGAAAAAAAAGTGATTAGTGAGGCTTGGAAGTTAAGTACAAGGGTTGAATGGATGTGGCTTCAAAAAGAAAGACTTGACTAGGCATTGATTTGTGATAAAAACACTAGATATTTTTATGTCATGGCTACTAGTAGACATAGTAGAAATGGGGTCAATTCAATAAGTGTTGGGGACATGGTGTATAAAGAACCTAGGAAACTCCAACAAGAGGTATGCTTGCACTTCATTAGACATTTTTCAGAGGAATGGAAATGTAGACCATCACTTGATTGTGTCTTCAAAATAGTAAGGAGCAGTCAAGCTTTTGAAATGCTAGAAGTAGAATTTTTAGAGGATGAGATATGGGCAGCCATCGAAAATTGTGAAGGAAACAAGGCTCCAGGTCCAGATGGGTTTAATCTTTTATGCTACCAGAAGCATTGGAAGAAAATGAAGGGAGATTTGATCCAATTCATGAAGGACCTTCACACTCATGGTAAATTGGTCAGAGGTATTAATAGTTCTTTTATAGGATTGGTCCCTAAAAAAGAGGATATAGTGGGATTGAGAGATTTTAGGCTTATAAGTCTAGTGGGCTGAGTTTACAAGATTCTATCTAAGGTGTTATTAAATAGATTAAGAAATGTTCTTCCAGAAATAATTAGTAAGGCTTAATCAGCTTTCTTAAGTGGTAGAAATATTTTGGATGGAGTCTTAATAGCAAATGAGGTGGCTGATGGGTGGAAAAAGGCAAAGAGGAAGGGTGTGATATTAAAGCTTGATTTTGAAAAGGCCTGTGATTCAATCAATTGGGAATTCCTCTTCTTAATGTTGTCAAGATTTGGTTTTAGAGGTAGATCGATAGTATGGATAAGAGAATGTGTCTCCTCAGCTAGGGTATCAGTCCTTGTGAATGGATCTCCCACTGAAGAATTCTGTCCCCAAAAAGGGTTAAGGCAAGGTGACCCTCTCTCTCATTTCCTTTTCAATATAGTGGCAAAAGGTCTAAATGTACTACCGTCCAGAGCTTTAGAAAATGATCTAATTAATGGTGTAATAGTAGGGCAAATGGTGTACTTGTTTGCAATTTGCTGATGACTCTATTTTATTCTGTGAAGCAGATGAACTAGAAGTAGTTAATATTAAAAGAATCCTAAGATGTTTTGAACTTATATCTGGGTTGAAAATAAATTTTCACAAGAGTGTGGTTTGTGAAGTAGGTGTGGAGGATGATATTCTAACAGATCTTGTTGTCAAACTTAATTGTAAGATTGGCTCATTACCATTGAATTATCTTGGGCTTCCTATGGGGGCAAATCCTAGTAGGAGGAGGACATGGAAATTAGTCCTCGATAAAGTTAAAGCTAGCCTAGCGGGTTGGAAGAGAAGGATGTTGTCATTTGCTAGTAGGTTGATTGTGAATAAGTTAGTCTTATTATGCTTACCTATCTACTACTTATCTCTATTTAGAGTTAAATGGGAGAAGATGACTATTGATCAAGGAGTTTTGGGCATTAGGAAGGTTAGAATTGCCAATTCTTGTTTGTTATTGAAGTGGTGGTGGAGATTTGCTTGTGAGACAAATGCACTATGGAGGAGAGTGATTTGTAGTAAACATAATATTGAGGAGTGTTGCTAGTTACCTGTTCCTAGTAATAGCTCTAGGCAATCAAGATTATGGGATGATATTAACTTAGTGGCTAATTAGTAACCTTCTCTAATAGAGTGTTTTCAAAATAATTTTAAAGTAAGGGTGGAGATGTTAAGATTTCGGGAGGAAATGTGGTGTAACTCCCATTGCTTGAAAATAGAGTTTCTTAGGCTGTTCAGCTTATCAAAGGAAAAGAGAGGTGCACTTCGTCAGTTTGTAGATTTGAAGGCAACCTCAAGGGAGTGGAACATATTTCCCAGAAGAGAGTTGTTTGAGTGGGAAATGGTGGACATGCAGAGATTATTATCTATTCTCTCATCAGGACCTTCAGTTAGCTTGGAAAGAGTTGATTGCCCAAAATGGATAGCTACAATATTAGGTATTTTTTCGATATCTTCTTTGTACCAGATCTATTCAATTAGAGTTGGGAATCACCTCAATGTTAGTAGATTACTATGGATGTCATGACCTAAATCTGCCCCTATAGGTTTAGCATCGTAATCGGCCAGTAATCCTTGGATTACCAAAGGCCTCTGAATAGAATCACAAAATATAAGGGGCTGCGGAAGCAAATATACAAAATACAATGTCCATAAAGCTGTGTAGACAGAAAATTTAAATCATACACATATATAAATAGTGTCAACTTCCATATGTCATGCATCACCATACAGATAGTATCATAAGGGACTTAGCCCTATGTACAGATAGACAAAAACAAAGCAAACCATCTTTCACATGATTCACAAAATTGACTTCTTAGACGGGAACCTTCCTCGGAGGCGCGGTGGCTGGCTGACAAAGCAAAACTCTCCAGGCAACAACTTAGGCCTGGTCATGCGCCTGCTTACCTACATATATAATATAAATAGCGAGCGAAAGCCCAGTGAATAATAACAGAGTAAATGATTGAATGAATGATGTCCCATAATAATTCAGAAAACAAAAATAGATTCACATTCATATTCTTGTCCGAATCGTATACAAAAATCAAAGTTCATGCTTGATCATATGTGGTACATCCAATAGCGCTAAAAGATCAAATACAGAGCATTAAGGGTCATACTTGTCAGTTCCATAAAGGAACCTCCGGAATCGGGAACTTGTAACATACTTAAGCCACGGTATTGTTACCCCCGATCAAAGGCCATGAGACCACAGTATTATTACCCCTGGATAAGGGCCTTGCGCTCATAGACCACGGTATTGTTACCCCCGGGTAAGGGCCATGCGCTAACGATGCCACAAATACATTTCAGAAACTTGGACAATTATTCATTCATACAAAACATAGCATTTCAGAAAACTGATCATTTCATATCATCAGAAAATAATTAAAGTTAAACAAAACTTTACAGAATTATTACTCACAGATGGCTGACAGAGCAAACAAATCAAATAACTTGTGGCGCGTAACCTACATGAACATAACACACATATTGAAACAACACTCAGAATTCATTAACTTATTCTATTTCGTTCCTAGTGTGTTTCTGGTCCTTATCCTCATCATTATGTCTTAAATATGGCCTACGAATACCTAGGATGCGATGATGATGCCAAAATGCCCTTGAAAACACTTAGGCAAATAGGCTGAAAATAGGGGCCTCGCTCGAGCGCAACTTCCTTCGCTCAAGCGGAAGGTCAAAAATATGAGTGGTCGCTTGAGCGCAACTTCTTTCGCTCGAGCAATTTGTAAACTCTGTAAAACTACTAGTCGCTTGAGCGTAAGATTGAGGTCCATGCTCAAGCGCAACTCTTGTTGCTTGAGCGGTCTGCAAAACATGTGAACTTCTGGGAGCATGCATTTTATGCTCGAGCCAACTTTTGGTCGCTCGAGTGGAGGTGCAAAACACAGAGGGGTCGCTCGAGCGGAAATACAGAATCTGAAATTTCTAGATTGTTGTACATGATGCAAACTTGGAATTCAAAGCCTCAAAAACTCATCATTGGGACCCAAAGGTCGAGAAAACACTTGAAAACTTGTAAAACATGGAGAATTAAAGATCGTTTCATGAAATCAAGGCCCAAAGCTTTGCCAAATGCATAAAACAGAACTTAAAACTTTGAACCCTTAACATGCATACATTAACTTGACTTCAAAGCTCCCAAAATATGATCAATTGATATAAAATGGCATCAAACAAGATGGATTCTCAAAATAAAGGTAAAATTGACACATGCATGTGAGGTTTGCTTGAAATTCAAACTCAAATTGTCATGAAAATGCATGGATGCATGAACCATGCTCAATTCTATCATCCAAGGTTAATTTTTGTATTTACTCTTTCAATTCTCGTGAACTCATCTTCTTATTGAGCCAAACACTTAATTCATGGGTTGCACTCTTACCTTAAGCTTGAGTTCACAAGTGTGGAAGATTAATTCTCCTAAGTCTTCTTCAATTCCCTCAAATTCTCTTCAATTCTCCTCTTTTGAGTTCAAGTCTTCGCTTTCCCTTTCTCTCTCACGTTTGAGCCTCAAGAATGATGAAATGGGTGTCACGACCCAAACCTGCCCCTATGGGTTTAGCATTGTAACTGGCCAGTAATCCTTGGATTACGAAAGGCCTTTGAACAGATTATATAGGCTTGATTAGTGGTATTTAATTAAGCTAAGCTTAGGTAAGCAATTCACATCAATTAATCCTAATTAATTCGTTTCGAATCGAATTTCAATCGAACCTACCATAATATTCTAAAAATTCTTAATAACACATATACCAAGTTAATTTCATGATCGGATGCCGATACGGCCTTCAATTTGCAGAGTAAAGTAGAAACACAAACATATATTTCTACAACAGACAGATATAAACACTAATAATGCAACATGTAATTAACTTAGGATTTCATCTTAATTACTTATTTGGCATACTTAATCATGGCTTAACAATTAATCATGGGTCGGGGTTGTTACAGTCTTCCCCCCTTAAAGAGTTTGGTCCTCCAAACTCGGATTACCTTCATTTTGGAAGAATACCAGGTCCAAAGGAAACAACTCAAGGTATCTCTTCATCATATCTTCTTTTGTTTCCCATGTCGCATAGGTTCCACCATGATTCGGCCAATCAATTTTCACCAATGGAATTTCCTTGTTTCTCAATCTTTTGATTCTTCAGTTAATAATTTGGATTGGTCGTTCTTCATATGTGTAATCTTCCTTCAAAAGTACGTGTGTTGGCTCAATAACGTGCAATGGATCTCTCAAATAATCCCGAAGCATTGAAAGATAAAAAAACGTTGTGCATATTCTCCATAATCAGAGGTAAGGCTACTCGGTATGTTACTGAGTTGATTTTCTCTAAGACTTCATATGGGCCAATGTTTCTTGGTGTTAGTTTTCCTTTCACCCCAAATCGTGTTTGACCTTTCATTAGAGTTACTTTTATAAATACGTGATCACCGACCTCGTACTCTCTATCTCTTTTTTGGACATCCGCATAACTCTTTTGGTGGTTTTGTGCAGTTTTCAAATGTTGTTGGATCAGTTTCACTTTTTTAGTTGTTTCTTGCACAAGTTCTTGTCCCAACAATGGTCTATCACCTACCTCAGCCCAGCAAATCAGAGATCAGCATTTTCTACTATACAAAGCTTCATAAGGAGCCATTCTAATGCTTGAATGATAATTGTTGTTGTATACAAACTCGGCTAGAGGAAGGTAAGTCCTTCAATTCCCTTGGAAGTCCAATACACACATCCGTAGCATATCTTCCAAAGTTTGATTGGTTCGTTCAGTTTGGCTGTCTACTTGTGGGTGGTAGGCACTGCTCAGTCGCAGTTCAGTTCCCAAAGTACGTTGTAAACTCTGCCAGAATCTTGATGTGAACTTAGAATCTCTGTCAGATACAATGGATACTGGCATACCATGAAATCTCACAATCTCATTCATATAAATGTTAGCTAACTTATTTGCATTGTAAAAAGTTTTAAGAGGTAGAAAATGAGCAGATTTAGTTAAATGATTAACTATGACCCAAATAGAGTCCATACCTCGAGAGGAGCAAGGCAATCCCACAATGAAGTCCATGGTAATGTGCTCCAATTTCCATTCTGGTATTGGAAGCGGCTGAAGTAACCCAGTAGGCCATTGTTGTTCGACTTTAACTTGTTAACAGTGCAAACATCTAGCCACAAATTAGCAATGCTTTTCTTCATGCCAGGCCACCAAAAATTCTATTTCAAATCATGGTACATCTTTGTGTTTCCCGGATGTATTGCAAACTTTGAATTGTGAGCTTCAGTCATAACACGCTTTCTCAAGTCAGAATAATCTCGTACACAGTCTATTCTGAAACTTCAACACATTATTCTCAACCACAAATCCTAGTCTTAGTTTTGATTCAAATTCATCCACAATCCTTTTCAGAAATTCATCTTGCAGTTGTTTCTCTGCAATCTCTTCAATGATTGTGGGCTAAGTAGAGATGGCGGCTAGAATTCCATCTTGTTCATGTAACACAATTTCAAACTTATTCCTCTCCAAGTTCGATATCAACTCTTTCTGACTGGTGAGCAAACATGACAAATTTCCCATTGACTTTCGGCTCAAAGCATCTGCCACTGTATTAGCTTTCCCCAGATAGTACAAAATCTGCAAATCATAGTCTTTAATCAACTCGAGCTATCTCCTCTATCTCATGTTCAATTCCTTCTGAGTAAAGAAATATTTTAAACTTTTATGATCGGTATACACTTCGCAAGTTATGTCGTACAGATAATGATGCCAGATTTTCGAAGCAAAGACCACAACAGCGAGTTCAAGGTTGTAGGTCGAATAGTTCTTTTCATGTGGTTGGAGTTGTCGCGAGGCATAAGCAATCACTCTACCATTTTGCATTAGTAAACATCCCAAACCTTTATATGAAGCATCACTGTAAATTTGGACTCCATCAGTACTATTAGGCAAAGTCAAGATCGGTGTAGTTACTAACATGGTCTTTAGCTCTTGGAAGGCAGACTTCCTTTGTTCGTTCCAATCAAATGGT